CCCGCCAAGCGCAAAGAAACAGAAGAAGGCCCCGGCCGTGAAGAAGGCGGCAGGAAAGCCTCTGGAAACGATTGAGAACGAAAGTATGAACTTAGACGGCCCTACCGAATCAAAGCCCAAGAGTGGCAGCGCGACTGATCGCTATCAAAAACTCACCCCTCTTCAGCACATCCTCAAACGTCCCGATACATATATTGGCTCCGTCGAACGAACTGAACAGCAAATGTGGGTCTTCAACTCTCAGACAGAGCAAATGGAGACTCGGAAGGTTCAGTACGTTCCTGGGCTATACAAGATATTCGACGAGATTCTTGTAAATGCAGCCGATAACAAGCAAAATGATTCAAACATGAAAGCCCTCAAGGTTACAGTGGATCGCGAAAAGGGAGAGATCAGTGTTGAAAACGATGGTCGAGGTATCCCCGTTGAGATCCATAACAAAGAGAAAATCTACATTCCGGAGATGATTTTCGGGCATCTTTTGACATCATCTAATTATGATGACGAAGAATCGAAAACAACGGGAGGCCGCAACGGCTATGGTGCGAAGCTTTGCAATATCTTCAGTACATCGTTTACGCTAGAAACCCAGGACAGCAAGAACGGGAAAAGGTATAAGCAGACTTGGACCGACAACATGTCCAATATGGGCAAAGCGAAAATCACAGCCAACAAGTCATCAGACTTCACGAGAATAACTTTCAATCCGGATTGGAAGAAGTTCCAGATGGATGGCATTGACGATGATTTCGAAGGCTTAGTCAAGCGACGAGTTTATGATCTTGCTGGCACAGTGAAAGGTGTATCTGTGTATCTCAATGGCACCAAAATCAAGGTCAACTCCTTCAAGAAATACATTGAGATGTATGCCAAGGCCATCAATGCCGAACGTGGCCTCCAAGACGCAGAAGTCAAGACAAGCGTTATTGTTGACGACGACGACTCACATAAGCGGTGGGAAATTGGCTTTGCTGTTTCAGATGGCTCTTTCCAACAAGTTTCCTTCGTGAACTCTATCGCCACGACCTCCGGAGGCACACACGTCAGTTATATTGCTGATCAGATTTGCCAAAGGCTCCTTGACCACGTCAAGAAAATCAACAAACAAGGGACAGCACTGAAAACGAACCAAATCCGAAACCATATTTTCCTCTTCGTCAATTGCCTGATTGTCAATCCTGCTTTCACTTCTCAGACCAAGGAGCAACTGACAACCAAGGTCAGCCAGTTCGGCAGCAAATGCCAGGTTACGGAAGAATTTTTGAAGAAGATCGTCAAAACCGATGCAGTTGCCAACATCATGCATTTTGCTCAGCAAAAAGCCGACCAGGTATTGTCAAAGAGCGATGGCAACAGACGTTCGCGTATGACCAACCCCAAACTCGTAGACGCCAACTTGGCAGGAACGAGGCGTGGACATGAATGTACCTTGATCCTCACTGAAGGTGACTCGGCCAAAGCCTTGGCCGTTGCTGGCAGAGCCATCCTGGACCCTGACAGGATTGGAGTGTTCCCGCTTCGAGGAAAGATGCTTAATGTTCGAGACGCTTCCATCGACCAAATATCAAAGAACGCTGAGATCCAGAATATTAAGCAATTTCTTGGTCTCAAGCACAAACAGGTCTACACCGATCCTCAGTCGCAAGGCCTTCGTTATGGACATCTGATGATTATGGCTGATCAAGATCACGATGGTAGCCACATCAAGGGGTTATTGATCAACTTCCTACATGTGGCCTTTCCCAGCTTGTTAAAGCTGCCTAATTTCTTCCAAGAATTCATCACGCCTATCGTTAAAGTGTGGAAAGGTCCCAATCCAAGAACCGCCATTTCCCGCACATTCTTCACCATGCCTCAGTATGACGAATGGAGAGAGAGGCATAAACACGAACGCAGTTGGAAGCACAAGTACTACAAGGGTCTGGGAACTAGCACCACTCAAGACGCCCAAGTCTACTTCACGAAACTCGATGAGCATCTGAAAGAGTTTGAGCCCATCAAGAGAGAAGAGGAGGATTTGTTTGATCTTGCATTCTCGAAGAAGCGGGCCGATCACCGAAAACAGTGGTTAGGCAACTTCATCCCTGGCACTTTCCTCGACCACTCGTCCAGCAAAATCTCATACGACGATTTCGTTAATCGCGAACTTATCCTTTTCAGCATGGCTGATAACATGCGATCTATTCCTTCAGTTATTGATGGTCTTAAGCCGGGTCAACGAAAGGTCATCTATTCTGCATTCACTCGCAACATCACTTCAGATATGAAGGTTGTGGAGCTTGCTGGTTACTGTTCTGGACTGACGGCATACCAACACGGAGAACAGTCGCTTCAGGGTACTATCATTGGTCTCGCCCAAGACTTTGTGGGATCCAACAATGTCAACTGCCTAGAGCCCAGTGGAAATTTCGGTTCTCGACTGGCTGGTGGAAGTGATGCTGCGAGCCCACGTTATATCTATACTCGATTGTCGCCCTTCGCAAGGCGCGTCTTCTCCCCTCTTGATGAGGCAAATCTCGAATACAATACGGATGATGATCGCCGTATTGAGCCAAAGGTGTACTGCCCAATTGTACCCATGGTCCTCATCAACGGTGCCGAGGGTATTGGTACCGGTTGGAGTACTTCTATTCCCAACTATCACCCAGAAGACATTGTCACGAACTTGAAACGTCGCATGGGACGCCTCGATAGCTCTGAGGAACAGCCGTTTGAGACAATGACGCCGTGGTTCCGTGGCTGGAAAGGTGTCGTAGAAGAGGCAGGCCCAGACCGTTTCCGGGCCGATGGAAGAATCACCGAAGGCCCCGGAGATAACGAAGTTGAGATTACTGAGCTGCCTATTCGTGTCTGGACCGACGATTTTAAAGGCAAACTTGAAGAAGTCATCAAGGGCGAAAAAGTCACGTCATTCATCAAAGATTACAAGGAATTCAACGACCACGACAATGTCCACTTCGTTGTTCAAATGGAAGCTTCTCAGATGAAGGCTGCTCTTACTGAAGGCTTAGAAGAGAAATTCAAGCTGCAGAAGACAATTGCGACGTCCAATTTGGTTGCTTTCGATCTTGAGGGCCGCATCCGCAAATACACCAAGGTTGAGGAGATTCTTGAAGAGTTTTACATCCACCGACTTGCAATGTACACAAAGAGAAAGCAGCATTGGCTAGATATCTTCGGAAAGGAGTATCGTAAGTTGAGCAACCAAGCTAGGTTTGTTCTGGAGATCATCGACAACAAGCTTGTTGTTTCCAAGAAAACCAAGCCAAAGCTTGTCGCTGAGCTCCGTGCCAAGAAATACGAGCCATTTCCGAAGGTCAAAGACGCCAAAAAGGCAGGCGAGGCGGATGATGTTGTAGAGAACGACGAAGAAGGTCCAGATAACGAAGAGGGGGGTGCAAGAGATTACGACTATCTTCTTGGGCTTCCTATTTGGTCACTTACGCAAGAGCGCGTTGATAAACTCAAACGACAGATGGTGGACAAGAAGGCAGAGCTCGATGATCTTGATTCGTTGAGCGAAAAGGACCTTTGGTGCCGTGATCTTGATGCCTTCCTTGAGGTTTGGCATGCGGCCCTTGAGGAAGATACCCTGGTGAAGAAGAACATTCGATCACTTGGCCGCCGAGCGTCAAAGAAGCTTGGTGTTGGCAAAGGTGGCAAGTTGTCGTCCAAGATCAAGAAGGATGAAGAATACATGCCAACGAAAAAGGCAGCCAAGCCAGCAAAGGCCAACCCTGCCAAGGGAGTGGTCCAAGTTAATCCCACTGAGACAGCGAAGAAACGTTTCGAAGACATGTTCTCTGCAAAACCAAAGAAACCGAAGACTCAAACCCTTGGATCAGTTGGCGCCGAAGAGATGTCGGGACTTTCAGACGACGATTTTGCCGCTGTTTCGGCGGCACCTGCGCCCGCTGCGTCCAGGAGCAAGAGGGCGGCTGCCGCGAAGCCAAAGAATTGGCTCGTAGAGGACGACGACGAGTCTGAAAGCGACGACGACAAGATGCTCGGGGATGTCGGAGCGATGGTCAAGGGTATTGGTGCTGAATCCGACACCGCAGCGAACAATGGCCGCCTCTCTCTCTTCGCAATGTCAAGGCCAGGTAGCAGTTCCGGCAAAGGTTCCTCGGCATCTTCTAAATCCAAGCCAGCTGTTAAAAGCAAGGTTGTTGACTTGTCTGATGACGATGAGACTAATTATGATATGTTGGCCAAACCTTCGCCACAGAAAGCTCATGCACCACAGCCACCGGATCGAGACCTGGATAGCTTCCTGAGCGATGATGACAGTCTGCCTGCTGTAGTGTCGAAAGCAGCAGCGACCAAGCCAGCTCCGAAAGCAAAGGCTGTCCCAGCGCCAAAGCCTAAAAAGGCTCCGGTCGTGAAGAAGGCACCTGTGAAAGCTGCGGAACCAGCGCCAAAGCCACCCGGATTGTCTCCGGCTGCCAAGGCTTATGCTGCCAAGCAAGGCAAAGTAAAGGTCAACTCCAAGGCTGCCGCCAAAGACGATTCGGAAGATGATTTGGCAATGAGCGATGCGGAGGATGTCAATGACGATGTCACGGAAAGCCCTGTCAGGCCTGCTGCAAGGGGTCGCCCTGCTCGTGCGGCGGTAGTGAAGGCAAAGTCTAAGAAGCCCGTATATGCGGACAGCGACGAGGAGGAAGAGGAGAGCGTAGTGGAGGAGGACAGTTATGATTTTGATGAGAGTGACTAACATTCATTGAATTGCAGCTGTGTGGCGTGTGGAGTTTTTGTTTGGGAAGGGGAGATACGGGCGGGCTGGTGGATGGGATGGGATGCAATGGGAGAACATCATCTTCAACTGGTTCATTTTGCTTTGGGATGGTACTTATGGGAGGGATATTGCCTATGGTTATTGCTATTTGCTCATCGCCGTTGTATGGACCGGGATGCGCATGTTATGATTAGTTTTCGTTATTCGCGGCACCATGCTTCCTTGCTTGGGATATAAATATGACGCCCATACACATTCATGTTTTGACAAATTTTTATTATGAGCGTGCCATCTGGGAAAGAAGTAATGTATGCCAATCAACTATATTCCTACCAACGAAAGCCATGCAATAAAGTGCAACAAGGAAGCGAAGTCAACCAGTTCTAAATACCTTAGCTATACCTGAATCTGCCCCATTACAGTGATTTATTCATCCGTTTTGCCAACGCATAGTAATGTCAATATCCCATTCTCATCCCATTCCCCTCTCCAAGCACCCATAAACTCCAAAATACAATAGACTCATCTATCGTAAAGGGTATCCGCAAAAAAAGCAAACACAAAACGACCCGTCCATAACGAAATTAGAGTCCCATTCCACCGTTGCGCCTAACGAGGTATGAAGAGATCCGCGTTCTCACGGTCAGAGAATCCATCGTCAAGAGCAGTTAGAGGGGAGGAGGTGTGTGAATTAGAGTGCTCTGTTGACGACTCCGTGGTGGTAGATCCGTTTGTAGTGGGCACGTCGGCGGCTGCCTCGGGTTTGGTGTCGGGATTAAGATATTTGGAGGAGACCGCATCGTCTTGGGTGAAGGCGGGGAATGTTTGGGGTTCAGGTTTCGAGACCATGAAGCCATTCGCCTCCAGTTTGTGCTCCACTGAAGGTTCTGGTGTCGCCTCGTGTGATTGGAAACTTTGGAGGTCAATCAGGACCTGTGGATCGGCGTACTGTAGTGGGTAGGCGCCGGCCAGCTCGTGCTGTGCCAACTCCTGTGGTTCGGCGGCGATTGGTAACTCCGCAGTTATCGACAGATTAGTCTTGCGGGCATGTATGATGGTGTTTTCTTGAGGGAGGCTAGGCGGGGTGTTAAACAAAGGTGGAAGAATGCCGGTTTGAAACTGGACCGGTGGTGGATCCTGTTGAGATGCGTCCATCTTATCTGCATTTTGTTCTTTGGCAGTAGAGGAAGCGGCAGAAGATATGCGAGACTTGATGCCTTTGCGGACAATCGCTTTATTGGTTGCGTTACCAACAAGACTCCTCTTCCTTTCCTTCCTAGTCTCATCATACGCATGCTGATAGCATCCCCCGCATCGCTTCCCTTTGCCTGTAGAGTCCTCATAGCCATGCCAGCTAGTAGACTTAGCTGCCTTACACTGTAGACAGTAGCCTTCTTTCAAAGGACGAGGTTGTCTCTTCGACGCCTCGGGTGTCTGACTCTTGCTGGATCTGGACAGAGTATTACGGTTTCCGCCCATATAAGTGCCACTGGTGGCATTGGCTTCGTCAAAGGCTGGTGCCTCGCCCTTGTTATTAGCTTCCTTTTGGGCGTTTTCTTTTGAGTACTTTCTCCCACAAGTCCAGCACAAGGTGCCCGTGCCATTTGGCCCCCTCCTGTCCACAATAATGTCAGTCTTGTGGCAATTGTCACACATCTTTTGGCTTGACACTCCCATCTCAATGCTAGGCAACAATGTGGCCGGAGTCGCAGCTTCCTTGTTAGCTTCCTGGTCAGGTTTTGCTTTGGCCCGCCTCTTCGCGCAACGTCCGCACAAGGTATTCGGACCATCGGGCCCCCTTCTGTCCACGGTGATGGTAGACCTCTGGCACTCGTGACATTTCCTTTTCTGTGACACTGCTTCCCCAGTGCTGGGCGAGTCGATCCCATTAACCACACCAGCTTTCGTATTAGCCCTTGGACGTGTGTGTCGGATAGCATCGCCACCTAATTCTACGACGGTACCGCAACGTTTGCAGACTAAGCGGTTGCTACGGACCTGCGCATCATATTCACAGGTGCCGCCAGTAGACGACCCAGAACAGATCTCTGGGCGCTTCGACTCAACCAAGACTGCTCCCGCAGGAGAGTTATTCGCGCTCGCATTTAGCAGTTGTGCTATAGCCTCCAGTGCTTTCCCTTCTAGTGCTTCAACTGCACTCTTTCCCTTGGGTTTTCCAGAGGGGGTGCCATTTGGCGTATAATCCGAACCTGCTACTGTCGGAGAGTTATTCAAGTGCTCGTGCGGCAGCAATGATATCGCATCCAGAGTAGCAATCGGTGCTTTCGCTTGGAGTGCCTCAATTGCTCTCTTCTTTCTTTTGCTTTTTGCTGCGGGAGTACCATTCGACGTATAATCCGAGTCTTCATCATCTCTCAAACGGCTCCTCTTTGCATATCTCTTTCTCCCGGACAATGATGAAGGTGGTAACATATTCACTGTGGTACAAGTTGTATGGTGTAGGGTGCTGCCTTTATGGCACCGAATGCCGCACTTTAACCCTTGCATGAGGCACGAACATTTGGTGCTCAGCGAACATGCTTTCGAGCAGCTGCATCGAGAAACCATTCCAGAGATCTCGTCGCATATCTTGTCAAAATCGCCTAGTTCATCCTGTCTATAACCGTGCTCTTCAGGCGCATCATGGACGGCTACCTTGATGAAGTCCAAAATAGCCTGGCTTTGTCTGGGGAGCGGCTCGTTTGTGCATATGTCATTCTTCATCAGATAATGCCAAACGTTCAGCGTTTGCGGCAAGGTGTTCCTGCGCCATGCCATGCCGCCAAGGAAGAAGCAGTTTGTCAATGTAATTGGCGCATGTATCGTTCCGGGTGGCTGTATTAACATATCGCCTCGGGTAAGGGCAATGACAGGAATCTTGCCATCGGGTTTGGGCCTCCAGTTAATTCCTTCCTTTGAGAATCCAAGTCGAGCTGCGTCCTCATCTTGAGCGTTCATGTGGTGCGTTGGATAGACTGGCCAGTACTTGACAACATCTTCAGCTTTCTCGTCCGGGCTGTCGATGTTTCCTTCGAGAACGATAAAAGTATAAACTCCCGCATTATCGATATGCCAGGAAGAGCAAGCTCCCCTGTGTGCAAGGATTCGAAACTGAGTACACTTCTGGATGTCACTGTGCGAAAACAACATCAGAGTAGTCTTGCCTATTCCACGGTCCTGTTCTGAAAGCGGGACCAAGCGCTCATCCAGTGACCTGTATATCATGCCTTCGCACTCATCTATGGCTTCGAAGAGTAGCTGGTAATCTTTTGCGAGTCCTTCGGGCCAGTGCCCCACGGTCTTGTCGGAAATGTTCAAGAGGTTCATCGGCGGCGTTTCGAGGGATATAACATCACTGTTCTGTGAAGTGCGCCATTGTTGGATGGCATCTTGCAGAGGTATGTTTTCAGCGGCGCCATCATTACATTGACGGTTCAAGCGTTGAACATCAACCCATTTTTTGTTTGTCCTCTTTTCCTGCTCTCTCAGCCATGATTCCGTAGATTTGGCAGGCCGACGACGGGAAAATTCCGGATCCCGAATTACCACGAGCTTGGGTGGGTTATTAGCCCGTGACCATGCTGCGTGCTCCGACTCGGTGAGTAGAAGTATGTCCGCCTCATCATACGTGCAGCTGCATCTCCCATGTATTGAGGTCGTGGAAGGATCCAGGCCGACGTGTGCTGATCCCACTCCACCAGCAGTCCACACACGAGCAGGCCTGCCATTGTCAAACACATAGTGTGCCAGTTCTCCCAGGCGTGCGAGGTGTGAATCTGGATTCTGACGTATAACTTCATTGTACTCTTCAAACAATTTGTGCCTTCTTGGGTCGTTGAACAGCCGCGCTTGTTGTGTCTGGGCGGGGCACTCGTCGTTCAATGACTGTTGTTGAGGGCGTGGGAGGCTCGCTGCATCCTGAGGTGACTCCATTTTTATATCGGGAAGCTCTGTAGGTGTTTTATGGACTCCCTCGGTCTGAAGGCAACCCATATATTCTTCCATCTCTGCTTGGCTTCTTGTAGGAGCGCATTCGGGAAGTTGAGAGAAGTCGAGAGCTTGTAGTCCATCGGCTGAGGACATTTCCGCAGGTTTAAGAGCTTCTGCAAACGTTTGCTCCATGGCGGGTATATATCAGTTGGTATATCATCGAGGTGGCCGATCAGATTCTCAAGGCGTTGATTTGAATGTTAAGGTGAATCGGATGCTGCGAGGCTGCGAAGTTGACAGCTACTCGTCCTTTGGCAAATTTAGTTATAAGTACATAGAACGAAAGTATTATACAGACAACATATGTGTAGATTCGTCTTCTGGCACTGCCTTGTAATATAATCGTTGTTGGCGCCCTTTCGAGGTTCTGTTGCTATCTCGTGGGACTACTAGATCCTACCAGACTTATCGCGGAATACACTTATATCCGCTCCGCTCCACACTTGTGCTTAGCGCCAACGTCGTGTTTATTTAACTTCACTCAGTCAAGACATCACTTTCTTCAGCAAACCTGTCACATTGATATATTCCGATTGAGGCTGATATAAATCGGCTTTGCAGCTAATATATTGAATTTTAGCGCTATGTTTCTCGTCCGGGTTAATCACAAGAGCCAGTGATCTTAACTCAGATGTAGCTGCCAACCCGTGGTTTGATAGCTCGACAGCCGCTCTTTTCACTAATCCCCAGCCCAAATGCAAAGAACTCCCGCTGAAGATCACGCCCATAAAATACCAAGACGCCTTCCTGTAACTCAGGCTGCTAAGCACTCCACAACACAAACACCAGACACCTTGCTGTCCCAATACATGCTCACTTCTTCAGTGCTGCAAACCTCGCCGCCAGTTCGTCAATATCGGGAATAGTACCGCCCACGGGCCCTTTACTCTTTAGATCAGGCTTCTTCGTCGCATTTGCATCTGCAATCTTCTGTGTCGGCTTCAAGTCGAGGGTGCCTATGACTCGCGGGTGTAAGTTGTCCGTGCTTGGGCTAGGTGGGTTGACCCTTAATGGGCTGCTTGGTCCGAAATCTCTCGGCGGAGTGGCCTTCGTCAGCGCGTCCCTCTCCTCCTCCACCCTGCTGCTTGCTGGTATTGGTTCCTCCAGGGCCTTCTCTGCTTGGACGCCACTCGAGGGGTCCTCGTCATCGGCATACTTCGGAGGGGTTCCAGGCTCTGCTTTCGGCCAGTCAACGCCATACGTGCTAGCTATTTCTTCCAAGTATCCGTTAACAAGAGCCTCGGAGGGCGGCTCTATCCTTAGCTTCTTGACAACCTTCTCAGCCACCTTGTTGTCCGTGTTCTCCGCCGCGTCCAACGCAAACTCCTTCCCGTATTTGTCTGTCAGTAGAGCCCGGACCACGTGTATCTCCTTGATGTCTATCTTTGGAGCTGCAAACATGATGCTCTTCACTGCCTCTTCCAAGCCCACGTCGCAGGTGGAGCTTTCCATCATGCCGACACGCGCAAGCAGGAGCTCGCAGTATAGTTCGAGTATCTCGTAGAGTTCGCAAGTGATGTCCGACCGAATGATGCCTTCGACGCGGATACGCGCGCTTTCGATTTTGCCAGCTTCTAATAATTGGGCCATTGAGCGCCGTGATTGTTTGGATACAGCTTCATCCTTTTGCTGGGCCATGCGAAGGCGCGCAATGGACAACTTCAGCTGTACCTTCAGCTTCGACTGTTCAGACGTCAGCATCGCAAACCAGATCAAAAAGTCGGGACAGCAAACCATATAGGAATTAGTGGGAGCCATGTCGAATAAAGTGTCGTTGCGCTTTTCAGGAACAGTTTCGCACAGAAATGAAGTGGTTGGATTCGCGGAAGCCTAGATTGTCGTCGTCACAGGTGGTGGGGTAACTTTGATAAGTACGAACGAGGGGCGAGGCGCGGTTCGCCGCTAAAATGCTCCAAGGGCGCTTTGTCAAGCAACGGCGACGAGGCTACTTTAGTACCAAACATCCCCATGTTATGACGACGCCGAGCAATTCTTTGATTTTTACTGCCCCAGACGCAAAACGAACATATTCGTCGAGCGATGGCGTATTGATGCGCTGCAGTTGGAATGCCTGTTAGGACAGCTCAGTTCAACAGTGACCTAGCGACCCAGCGAGGACGATGGCTACCACCCGGCTCAAGAACTTAACAACTCCTCCAGCTCTCGATATAGAGGGGACATCGAGTCTATCTGGCTTTACAGCAAGAATATTATCAATAGGTTGAAACAGACACAACAAGAATTTTGAGGTACCTGCGTCTCGTGGCGCAAAGTGTGCAGGATGACCGCCGCTCGCCCACCCTCGCCCGAGGCCGCTCCACGAGGAAGCCCGAGGCCAAGTCAACGCCCAAACTCGAATAAGAACGAGGCAGAGCCCGATAAAGCTGTTGAAAAGAAGCCAACTACATTGGATAAAGTGGGGGAATGGTCTGCGAAACATGCGTCGGCGATATGGGCCAATTTGCAAACGGGCAATCTCTGGCAAAGAATGCTCAAAAACACTATCGCCTCGACAATTGCCATAATAATAGCCCTGATACCTGCCGTTATTGGCGTCTATGGGAAGGCTACATATCTGGCGGTTATTACCACCGTTTTTGGCCATCCAGGGAGGCGCTTCGGCATGATGGCTGAAGCATTGATCCTGACAATTCTTGGGACGCTTTTTGGGGCGGCCTGGTCAGTGTTGGGAGTTTACCTATCGTCTTTGGTATATCATTACAATATACCGGCAGCTTTTACTATTAAGGGAGTTTTCCTCACATTGGCTGTTTTGTTTCATGGATACCTGAGGTCCCATACCCCACGGCTGTTTTTGGGGGTACTTCTGATGCTCATCGTCGTTGTCGTCACTTTGACAAACCCTGCTACAGCCGTTACTGTTGGATTAGTCACTGCTATCCTCTATCCAATTTTATCGGCAGTAGGGATCTTACTTATTGTCAATGTTACTGTTTTCCCAGAGTTCAGTAGTAGCTTTTTGGGCATTACCACCATTGAGACTCTGAGCCAGACAGTCAGCACTTTGAGAGACGCCAACAGCTACTTTGTCGCCATTCTCGAACCCAATAATGAGACGATTGTAAAACAAGACGGGGGCAGTTATGAGGAAGAAGCTGAGACGAGCGACCAGGAACTAGAAGCTCCAAAAGAATCTTTATTCCATAGGCTGCTTAAAGCAGCCAAGTCTCTACGGTCAAAACCGTTAAAGGAGGAACCCTTTGACCCCGCCAAAACAGCTGAAGGAGAGCGTTCTGGAGAAGAACCCTCTGCTGCAGAAGTTCCGAAACCTGTTATTCCGTCAATTATCGAGCTGAAATCATTGACTGATCAGAAGGCGAAGCTGCGAGCTAAACTTGAGAGCTGCAAATCTGCACAGCAAGAATGCATGTTCGAATTAGCATTTGCCGTTCTGCCGCCGCGAGACTTGAAACCAATCAGCGCTACGTCGATGAAGAAGCTCGTTGCGAACACAATATCCTTAATTGGTGCATGTGAGAGCAAATATGCATTACTGGGCGACATAGACGACGTTAAAGTTGCCAGTGATGGAGCTAAGGGTGTCAAAACTCCTACGGGAAGCATAAGTAGGAGCAGACGGTCCTCGTTTGATCAAGATTCTGAGACGGGCGGTGAATCAAGTCACGAGCAATTCAGCGACAAAGAAGAGTCACATATGCCTTGGAAGAAGAAGAAGAAGAAGAAGAAAGCCCATAGGAGTAAAAGCAGGGGTAGAAGAAGCAAAAGCAGAGCTAGGCTTAGGAGAGAGAAGGAAGACTTGGAAATGGTGAAGCCGCAGAAGGAAATAAAGTCCGCGGATGAGGAGCTCATGAGACGCCTACTAAAACGAATTGAAGGTCCTCTCCATTCACTCCAAGAAAACATCGACAAAAGCGTGGAAGTTATCACGTCTTGCCTGGCCTACTGTTATGATGTCCGAAAGCTCCCATCTGGTGCATTCCCCCCGAAGGGAATTGAATTGGAGGAATTGGACATCCACATTGACGCTATGAAAGCTTCCATTGTGGATTTCGACAAGAATGCCTCAGCCGCCCTCGAATCCGCTACAGCATATTATGAATCTCACAGCACGCATGTTGATGTGACACCTAGAATGGAGATTTTCTTGATCTCGAGCTTCATACTTAACCTTCGGCAGGCGGCAACCAACATGCGCAAAATGTTGAAGCATTCACGGAAATTGGTAGAGAAGAGGCAGGAACGCCATGAAAAACGAAGGTTGTGGGCTCCAAGGATTGACTGGCGGAAGTGGTTGACCACAGGTGGAGAACACGATATGCTGTCCCTTCCTGAACAGGGCCGGAAAGACAAGCGCCAGGGTAAGGAAGACCAACAAGATGACGACAAAGGGCCTCATGAGACACGAGCAAAGGTTAAGACTGGTGATCTTGAGGCTGGTGGCCAAACGGCACCAGCACAGAAACCCCCCATACCGAAGGTGACCAAAAAGGTCAAACCCAAGGAGAAGGAAAAAAGCTGGTTTGCACGTCTGCGGATCAAGCTCGCTGATTTTGTCGATGCGGTCGCAGCTTCGGATGATGTTGAGTACGCAATAAAGCTCAGTATTGCAGTCCTTCTGGTGACATGGCCTGCTTTCGTTGGGAAGTGGAATACGTGGTACTACCTAAATCGTGGATTATGGGCAGCCCTTCAACTAGTATTGATCACGGAAGTCGTGATTGGTGCCAGTGTTTGGGTCTTTTTACTCAGGGTTGTAGGGACAACTATCGGCTGTTGCTGGGGCTTAGCCGCATTTGAAGCCTCCCAAGGAAACCGTGTGATCACAGTTGTTATGTTGGTTATAGGGGTTGTTCCATCAACATATGTCCAGCTCGGAACCACGTACGTCAAAGCGGGCATGGTGTGCATCATATCGATGTGCATTGTCGCTCTGGCAAGCGTCGACAACACTCTGTCAGGAGGTGCAGTAGACAACTTTCTGAAGCGTCTTATTGCTTTCCTGGTCGGTGGAGCCGTTGCTATATTCATCGAATTCGCTGTATTGCCTGTTCGAGCTAGGGATCGACTTGTCGAGTCTCTCGCTGCAGCAATTCAAAAGATTTCGGAGATGGAGGCATGCCTGGCGTATGGCGTAGAGAGCGGAAAGAACACAGATGCGCGATCTCCAGAAGTCATAGAGAGGTTTGAGATCGCTATGGGTAAAGCCGAGGACGCACTTGGAGCAGCTGCGACTTTTCTTCCATTCTGCAACCAGGAACCTCGACTGAAGGGTTCTTTTGCTGGGCTTAGCCTGGTTTATCAGGAGGTTCTCTACGTCCTTCATCGCATCATAGAAAGAATGGACAACATACTCCAGCTACGGAATGAGTATGGCTCCGGCGTTCTCGAGGAACTTAACGAAGAGATTTACGCCTATCGAAGAAACCTAGCTGGCAGCATAACTTTGATTCTATTCGCCGTGCATGAAGCGCTTACAACTAAACTGCCACTCCCTCAGTTTCTGCCTTCTGCACGATTGGCACACCTTCGAGTTGTGAACCGCGTACGAGAGATTGTATTGGAGAATGAACCTGCAATCCTTGGCAAAGACAACATGGAACGATCGAAGATGGAGAAGCTCATGGTACGCCGGATGTTGCGCCAGAAGTTTCTGTCTTGGAACGCAGCCTCGGCTGGGCAGATCGAGATCATTGAGTATTTAGAGGAGCTGGTGGATCTTACTAAGCTCTTGGTTGGTGCGAACGAGTTCCGGAGCGGGCTCTTGACCAGGCCATCCTACTCTGATTATATCAAAAAAATCAAAGAGAGCGGGCAAGCCGAAGAGCGTGAAACACTAATTGAGGAAGAAAAACGCGGTCGGCAAGAGACCGAACCCAGCCAAGCTCCACAAAGACGCCGAAGCGGGCAATCCCAGGAAGCCGAGATGGCGGATAAAGTGGCTGAGAAATTGGAGCCTGGGGTGAGGAAGAGAAGGAACACTAGACTGGGCAGCATCGTCAATACTGAGGGTGGCGAGCAGATTAGCGCGAAGCTGGCGAATGCAGAGCTGCCGATGTCGTTGCGGAGGGTTAGATCCAAGAGGATTGAGGAGGAGTTGGAGAGGATCCGTAGCAAACAGAGCATTGAGGAGGAAGAGAGTAGGAAGGGCAAGTAATTATGGCGTATATAGTATATATCGATAGCGATTTAGCCCTGAAACCAGCTCGTCGTCACAGAATCGTTAAACTAATCAAGTGATGATCAAATTGACCCGTTTGATTTCGAAGTGAAGCCAGTGTGCCCAGGCGCTTTGCATGTTCTGCCGGCCAATTATGAAGCTATGCAGTATTATTTGCGTTATATGGTACATATGTAGCCTCTATTTTGTAAATTCCTATTACACTCTTATTTCCGGAGAAAAGGAGGGAGCTGGTTTATTTATGTGCTCTGATATGAATATTTTGTGTTTCTTGAGTGTGTGGTTCTGTTTGTTCCAATGGGCATAAGTGAGACTTGGGTCAGATATCCCACAACATGGGAGCCCATCTGGCAGAGAAAAACACAACAATTCCCGGGGCACATTTAAACCAGGATGTGGTGGACTTTCTATTACAATTGTAATCTTTTATTGCAACGACAGCCTACTTTTGAGTGTTGGGTGTAGCCGTGGGTTATAAGTTTGGCGACTTCCCTTTGAAGAACTGAGACCAACAATCAGCCACCTTTGTCCCAGTCAAATTCACCTACCTTCAACAACAAACCCAACCACCTTTTACTACCCACGTTCTACTACTCATTTCTCTTCATCAATCACCTTATCTCTCTCAATTTTATCCAATTGCTGTTTCCATACTGGACCTCAGGCGGGCCAGTTTGACATCAGTCGGACAATCGAAGCAAGATGGATCCCGTTACACCAGTCCCGAAACGAGCCTCGATATCATCCAGTTCTCTAAGCAAAAGCGAAGAGAAAATAGTAAAAAAGTTACACTCCAATCCAGAGCACCTATCTTCTGGTGAGCTGGCCCAGACACTGCTGAGCACCTTCAACAAGAACCTGGGAAAGTTCTCGTTTGCAAGGACGTTTGAAGCATACTTGAGATGGCTCGAGGCCCAACGCCGTGCACCACAGACAACAATCAACTACAACTGGAAGAACGTCGTCATGCAATGGACTCAGAGCTTGAAAGCCAGAGATATCAGACTCAAAGACCTGGTTCTTGGGGTTGAGCATTGGAAAAGGACTCATGGCCCGTTTCACGACTCAAAAACCGAGGTGAATCCAAGATACCCACCAACCATAGATGAGTTGGAGACTGCATACAATATGGATTTAAGACCTCATAGTGCTAGAAGCCCTCCATCTGCCCCTCCTTTGAGAAAGGGAGATCGCCATGTACCTGAGGAATCCAGACGTGCTCATAGAGGACCAGAACCCAAAACGCACGAGGCCGCCAAGTCTCCAGCGAAGCACTATTTGTCCTCGCCCAACAATTCGTCGGTCCGTGCAAGTGCACCGGGTGGCACAATTGGTCTGTTCGTTATGAATGTTGGGAACTACTCAAATAATGAAGTGGTAGAAATCTTCCATCCTGATTATCGGCATACCGTCACGCGACTAGAGGCGTGGTTGACAAACAGAACTGTGCATTTTCGGACAATTGAAGACAGGGACCGGGCTTATGACCTGCTTCCAGATGACTTGAAGGCCCGGAAAGACAAAGACCTTACACGCCCGCTTGTTAGAATATACGCAGGCAGAGGAACTAAGCAATGGTCAGATATCGATACGAGCAGTGGACATGCAGCCAGCCCTGAGAAAACATCGAGGCGGCTTGGTGGCAATAAAGATGAACCGGAAGAAGTAGGCCTTTACTTCATGAATACTGGGAGATATTTGAGGAAAGATGTGGAAAGGCTCTTCAGGGAAAGAGATATTTCGAACATTGTCGGCGTCGAACGGCTGAGTAAATCCAATGTGGTTGTGTGGTTCCCATCCAAATATCTCAGGGACAAGGCTTTGGGACACCTGCCCTCCTACTTGAAAGACGACAATGAAACATCACGCAAAACTTCACTCTTTGTGGTGCTTTTCAACCCTAGGGTGCATAGCAAGCATCCAGCAAGCCGCCTTCGGGAAAGGCAAATCAACGGACCTGACAAATTCTACAACAGAAGGGCTGACAAGAACGAAAGTCGAATTGAAAAGTCCGTTGCAACTAAACACGGACATATTTCACGCTGGGGGCACATTGGCGATGAAAACGATGGGTTTCGACGCCCAGACAGAACGCTCAGGGATGATGGGCGCCTCTCAAGATACGAGTCTACCAACAACTCGAGCCCCGAGTTCAGCCGCCATAAGGGAGCATCATTTGATAAGCCAAAAATCCCAGTATTTTCTCCAGTTCGACAAAATGATGAGAGAAAAAACGGATATTTAAATGATGAGGAACGTATGATGTGGGAACAGGACCAAGGGGATGCTTTCACTGGGATGTGGTTGGAAAAGCTCACCGATGAGATTATAAAGCAAAGAAGCAAACTGGAGAATCCAACCCATTACAATGCTCTAGCAAAGAATTTTTACGGCGAAGAAGAGCCCGTCGACAAAGAGGCGTTACGATATGCAGCTCCACTTATCAATGAGATTGGCAATGCCAGGCCTCGATTGAAGCGGTCCAGAAGTCCAGACCCCATCGATCATACGGAGAATATGGGCGATTGCTCTAAACGCACCAAGCTCGAAAATTACTCTTCTGGCGATATGGACAGTTTTGAGGGAGACATGTCGGATGGTGATGGCCTTGATTTCCGTACGCTTGGTCTCGGCAGGGTGAAGCGCCTCAATGCACTTCACATGTGGGATCTTCTTGACAATGCCAAGCGCTTGGAAGAATCTCTCGATAGTAATACAAGCAATTCAAGTGAAAACGATACAATGGTTGAGGAGATCTCGGGTAGTGATATTGATGGTGAGGACGAAGAGGCAGAATCCGAAGACGAGGAGGCAGAATCCGAGGACAAGGAGGCAGAATCCGAAGACGAGGAGGCAGAATCCGAGGACAAGGAGGCAGAAGCCGAAGTCCAACGATCTAACAATGAGTTGTACGTTGGCTTTATCCCATTTCGGACCTCCATGCTAATTTACTCATTGCAGAGAACCTATCTCGAGCCCAGACGACGGATGGTGCTCATCTCGAGATTACTGGGCTGGGTCTTCGGGAGGCTCTAATTCTTCCGAGCTTGAGGAAGGTAAGTTACAGATCCTCGACATTTTTTAACCAGAATCTCATGTTTTTAGGTGCCAGTGGCCAATCTGCCAGACGCAGACGCTGTGGAAATGAGCGACTCCGATGTCAAGTCAGACGCTGAGATAGCATACAGTAGCCCGGAGACACCATCAGAGTAAGGTGATGGGATGGATGATAGTTGGCGCTTATCACACTATATTGGCGGTCAATTTTAGGTTGTTCTGGCAGGTGGTTCGCAGTTGCTAGTCCCTGAAGACTCCCCACCAGGTTGCGATCAAAGTTACAAGACCTCTTTATTCTCAGTTAGCTAGTCTTGCGGGATCATGGAATTACGCAATTGCTATATCTAAATCCACACAGTTTCGGAGTATCTGGTTCCTTCTGGTTCTTCGTGCTCGCAACTGGTGGAAATAAATAATCACGGGTGGTGGAACTGATTGGCGTTGCATACAGAAACTCGCAACTCGTACTTGCCCGTAATTCCGCGTTGGGCTTATCTCGAGGCTTTCTTGTTCGCTCTTCCCCTCTCTCCTCACCATGTACATATAGCCACTGTCTCCGTCGTCTCATTTTTGCAGCACGCTTTCTGGTGTATCTACATACTGTCTTCGGGATTCCAGTTCTGGGTTCCAGTATTGTTGCCGCCAAAGGACTTCTCATACGGCTTTTCCGATGTCTCTGTCAAATGACGCTCCGCCGGAGCTCCCACAGCCAGTCAAGTTATTTAAGAAGATTGACGAGCCGTTTTTGATTTAGAGGGGCCCATTACTATCTCCTGTCATTGTAACAGGATCAACGGCCTCATTAAAGTTCTTCCTCTTCGTGGATTTGGCAATAGTACCAGTATTGAGATCGATGCGTAGGGGGGCATCCTACGCAGCTACAGCAGCTCGCCCGGCGTTACCCGCGAGTTCTGTCCTAGGTGTGGAGCGACTATATTCTGGCACAACACTGACCGGCCGGAGCTCATTGATGTTAGTGTCGGGCTATTCAATGCAGAGGGGGCAAGAGCAGAAGATTGGTTGGTTTGGTGGAAGGAAAGAGTTGGTTTTGAAGAGGACCGCTTCAATGGATTGATATGTGATCCGGTGACGTGCTTTGCTACGGGTCTTAAGGCGTCTGTTGAAACAGTTGTGCAGCATGCCGACTATTTAGAGGACTACGGATAGTAGCAGGCTTTAAGAGACTATAGATATTAGCAAGCGCTTAAAAGGTTGTAAACACCAGCATACGTTCAAGTGACTGCGGGCATACGTTCAAGTGGGTGATATTAGCAGGCGTTTTGAAGACTGGGGATGCTGGCATGCATTTAGAGGACTATAAACAGTGGCATCCGTCGTGGGATGCGTTGGGAGAAGGGATGTTCGGAGACACTTAGCATCATTATCCTACTACGAACAACAAATGATACGTTATCCTCGAATATCACATTCTCATTGTAAATTTGCCGTTTCATATCAGCAAGTATGTACCCCAGAACGCCTTGCCATGCAATAGTGTAACCTGTTCCATCCCTGGACATCCCATTCTCCGCCATGCCATGCCAGGCACTGTGCACCACCACACGTATCACAACCCGCTCTTTACTCCAATTTATCCAGATGTTCCAGCCTCGTCAACACAACCTGTTTGCTCGTCTCCTCAATCTCACCGGCAAGGAACACCTCATCGAGAATCGCATACACCTAGCCCCCTCAAATTAGCCCAATCCCCTTCCCCCCCGCCTCATATTCCAGCGCACTCACCTTGTAAAAATTAAACACCAAATCCAGCTCACACACATTCCCAAAGAAGCTATCCAGCACCTCAACAAAGAAGTGTATAGCCTCCAGGTACGCCAGCTCATTATCATTCGCATCCACGCAGACGCAGAAGAACAGCCCCGCATACCGCCGATACACGACCCGATGCTGTCGGAACTCCACGAAATTCGACTGGTGCTTCTGGTCCCGCGGCGCGATGAGACGGTGCACCTCGCCCTTGAGCTTGATCTTGTCGGCGTCGGTGTATGGGGCGTACCATTTCGCTAGGCGGGTCTTGCCTCTGGGGAGCCGGGGGGGTTGGTTAGCTGGGTGTGCGGCGGGTTTCGGGGGAGGAAAGGAGGGGGGGTGGGGGACGCACTGCCGGTTTTGGATCAGGATGAATGAGAGCACCATTGTGTCTCTTCTGATGCCTTGGCGGCTGTCTGTGGTTCTTTCCTCGCTGTGCGCGCTGGTGTTCGTCGTTGTCCGCGGCGGCGGAGGTGCTGGGCGGATAGCTATCGAGAGACGTCCCCAAATTACGGGTGAGTGAATATGCCACTTGTGCACTTTTGTATAGGGGGTCTTTTGGGTCTCCTATATTTAACTCCGAGTCGCAGGAGAAAATACTACATTCGGTCTTAAACTAATAGGTATATCGCATGTATAATATATACTTTGTTTTTTTATATTATCAACTGCGTGATCTATCCTTCCTCTAGCCTTTCATCTTGTATACCTATACAATACAGCCAGCCGACGAGCCCCTCAATGAGCAAGCCAGGAGGGTCTATCTATTCAATAAATTTACAATACGACCAATCCCTTTACCAACCAGCCCACATAGATATCCCCTCTCGCCCCAGACGCCACTCGCTCTTCCCTTCCCAAACCACTTACGCCTTCACGGCGACGGGCTCGGTATCACCAGCCCCGGTATCATCTTCGGCGATGCTTTCCGCCGCGATCGCGTTAATGCCTTCTTTGCCTTCGCCCTCGATGCTCTCGCCATGCTCGTATGATACACGGCGCCATCCGCACTCCTCGCGCGGATCCTTGATCCACTCCATCGTCGCGAAGTAGTGCTCGTTTTTCTTCATCGTACAGATCCACGGGACGTTATCGAACGTCATGCACTTGAGGCGGAAGTCTGAAAGAGCGTTAGCAATTTGCGCCTCAAACCATAAAAGGCTCTCCAGAAACAGGGAGGAAGAAAGCTGGGGGGTACTTACAGGTATTATCCGGAATCCTCACGACCTCACGAATAAAGGCCTCCAGATCCGGCGTCGCAACACCATTGACAGCAGTGATAAAGTTCGTCGGCGCAAGTCCATACTGATACGCCGGGCTACCCCTCGTGCGCGCACTAACATAAACCTCACTGTGCAACTTGCTAATCTGCTGACGCACAGCCAGATGCGGGCGATGCAGGACGGCACCACAGAAGTTGACCGCGCGGTCTGTCTCCACATCGTGCGCCGCGACTGTGGGAACCGCAACGTGCATCTCGACGCAGTCACGCACGATGACGGCTTCGAGCACTTCATTGTCGTACATGACGTCCAGCTCCGAGACGCGAGTAACGATGTTTCCGTTGAGGGTTAGAATGACGTCTCCCTCCTGGAGCGCATGTGAGTCCTCATTACGCTCAAAAGTGCGCTTGCGCACCATGAAAAGCTGGTGGTGCGCAGAGTTGGCAGCAGCAACACTCTTAATCCACGACTCCGAGACGCCCATAATGCGCGCCTGCGACATCTGGATAGCGTTGAACTCGACGCTGAGCATGCGCAGTTCCGGGGTTACGCCGGCTTGGATCTGTTTGATGACGGGGAGAAGGGTGGGTGTTGCCATGCCGAGGTGGTAGTCGCTGTCTTTGTTAGTGGTGGAAGAGCGCTCGCCGAGGTAGGTGAGCCAGAGGGCTTGGACGGTGCCGTCTTCGGCGACGAGAACGCCGCTGCCGCATTGGCCGCTTAGGCTTGTGTCGACGGTGATGGCGTCGAGGTTGACGGCGCGGTACCGGGGGGCGCCGGCGTTGGCGGGGATGGCGACGGCGGTGATGTCGGTGACGGTTGTTTGCGCGACGACGATGCGCATGTTTTGGTTGAAGCCGATAAAGTATGTCGAGGCGCCCTGCTTGATCTGCTCGGTGCTGAGCTTGGCGCTCTTAACCGGTGCGTCAACAAGTGATGGGTCGTATTTGATGATGGCGTAGTTTTGGAGGGGGTGCATGAAAACAACCTTGCCGTCGACAATGATAGAGTCTGCAATCGTGATAGAGATGTCGCAGAAGTCGTACGGCACAACCGCGCGGGAGATGATGACAAGACCCTTCTCGGCATCGAGCACGACACCCATACCCCACTTGCGGTTCCGTGGGAAGCCGTCCAACTTAACGGGCATATGGCACGCAACGCGCACGAAGCTCTTGACTAACTCTGCAGCGGCTGGGTGCGTCGGGTTGTCGAGCTGGATGAAGCTCGCGCTGCGGGGAACTGGCGGCAGAGCTGGTAGGGCCTCTGCGAGATCGCTGAAGTCCCATAGCCCAGTGTTATCATTCCGGACTGCCAGGCGCATCTTACTCGACCAGTGACGGTCAATGTAGAGAATACTTGTGTTGAGCGTGTGTAGATCGCGTAGATGCTTGTATGTGACAACGACGCGCGAGCGGTCCGGGATGGCCTTCATGACTTCGATGAAGGTTGCCAGGTCCGGCATTTTCTTGTGATCCACCGACTGTACGAGCCATCCTGAATCGGTGCCCTCGAACTTGAATGATCCAGTAGCCTCACAAATAAAGACGCCCTTACAGGCGACGGCGTATAGGCGGGCCTGCTGGTACGACAGGTCGTGGAAACTAGCACCAGCAACGGAAATAAAGCGATCCGGAGTAATCTTGTGCAGGTCCCCAACACCGAGCTCAACCTCAATATCCTCACTGCCACGCTGTATGAGAAGCTTGACTGCCTGTCCGACATTCGAGTCGAGAATATCATCCAGCCTCACAAACTGCGTCAGCAGCTCCCCATTGACCTTCATCAAGATATCTCCCTCCTCGAGCTTCGTATCCGACGGTCCCTCCGGGAGCACAATTTCAGCGACAAGCATGCCCGTCTCCTTCGGGAACTCCGCGCGTATCTTCGCCTCCCATTCCGGCGTCAACCCTAACCTCCGGCACTCGTCGAACGGCTTCAGCATCCATTGACACTGTATCGTCCCTCTTGAGATTGGTAGGCCCTGTTGCAAGCACTCCAGTGCCCGCTTCGGCCTCGACACAGGCAGGAAGTAATCCGTCGCCGCGCCATCCGCTCTCCCTCCCGCCTGCAACGCCACCGCAAACCCATCGATATCCACAACGGGCGACCCCGAACTCCCACCACTAGCCGCCGCAGCCGCCTGGATGTAATTGGTATTGAAGTCGCTGTATCCCTCTCCGTACTCCGGAGCATTGCGATCGAGTCGACTGATGACACCAGAGAGGATACTCAGTTTCTCACCCGCATCATTACCCACAACTCTAATCTCCGCGCCCACCTTCGCCAGGTCCGGGCGCAGCTCCAGCGCCGCAACGGGCATATACTTGATCGCCTTCGGGTCGAATCTCAGGATCCCAAAATCGTGCACCGGGTCGCGGTAGACGGGGTATGCGTCGACCTCCTCGTGGTTATCGAAGACGACGTACCCCCAGAACGGGCCCGAGCCGACGACGTGGCGGTTCGTGAGGATGTATCCGCGCTCTGCGTCGACGACGAATCCGGTCGCTTCGCTGGTGAGCGCGGGGTCCGTGTCGAAGGCGCAGGTCTGGCAGAAGCGGATGGATACAACGTTGCGGACGACTTTCTCGATGGTTGCTTGCCACTCGGCGCTGTCAGCTGGGGCGACGATTCCGATGCGGTCGTCGTCCTCCTCTTCCATCTCCATCTCCATCTCGTCTATGGGCGAGGAGGACCCCAGGTCCGGTGTGTTCTCTCCGACGGACTCTTTCCCATTAACCGCGCGGTGCAGCTTCTGTGGTCTCTCCGGGAGCGGCGCAGCCTGCTGCTTGCGTTTCGAGCGAGTCGAGCCGTTCATCGTCATCTTTGTGAAGTGTAGTGTTGAGGAGGAGTGTATGAGTCGAGCGGCAGAGGGTGAGAGGGCGGTTTTATGGGTCGGGGAGGCGAACTTGTCAAAAATGCTGCCGGATGAGTAAATGCGTTGATGGGTCGTCAAAGGGCGATAGGTAGCTGGGAAACTCGTCAATGACTGTTGTTTCAGTCGAGCACATATGGCTCTATTCATCCAGCATATGATGAAAGCGTCGAGGAGCGAGATGAGCAGTCAATGGGCGCGGATTGTTGAATCTTAACTGCGAGGTTACAACAAAGCTCGCAGGTTACCTGTGTACATGTAAGGCTGCTGGTTGTTTTCGTCACATGGGCCAAAAACAGAGTGTGGCGTGGGAAGTGTGGCTGGTGCAACGTGTGGCTGGTGGCTGGTGGCCGTATAATGCAGGCACAACCAAATCAAGCCAGGTCTGTGAACCGGGTTGATATCCAGCCTCATAGGGGCAAATTGACTTCCAAGTCACCTCCATGCCCCTTCATACCACTCAGCTCAACACATATATGCACTCAGCAAATACCCATATACCGTCACATCCACATTCAGTCACTCACACGTCACAGTCACAAGCAAAACTCTCCATACCAGCCAGACAAAGCCAGCCAGCCTCATATCACAAAAACAGAGATCTCTTGAGCTATCGTAGCAATTACACACACGTCCTCACCGCTCAAGCACCCTCCCCCCTCCCATCCATTGCATTTTCAAGGGCTCCACAAAACGTACAAAAAAAAGAGAAAACAAAAAACAATGCAGAGGTCGTAGTAGTTAGCTAAGGAAGCACAAGCAAAAATAAAACAATAAAACAACGAAAAAGGCGTCCCGGGGGCCCCAGGGAAGCAAGTCGGGTAGAATAGCAGCGAGAAGTGGCAAGGGCCAATATTAATTCTTCGTTTTCCGTGAAGACAACAAGAACAGCCCGTCTCTTTTTTGTGAGAGGCAGACGCAAACGTCTCCTCGAAGTTTCTATTCCACCCCGTGTGTCCCACCCGCGCAGTGCCTTATCATCGCGCCCGCCTGTCCGCCTGGTTCCAGTAGAGAGTGTTGAGAGATTGAGAGAGAGAGCAAGGTTTAAGAAACGGGAAAGAAGCATGCCGCAGAACAGGGCCTGGAGGGAGCTGATATTGCGCCCCGCGTAAGATACACCTCATTCGCCGTCGTCATTCGAGGAATTAATGTCGCTTGAAAAATTACAAGGAACAAAAAGAAGAGGGTGTCTGTTCGTTTCGTTATGAGATTGAGATTGTCGACGGTGTGCGAGATGCAAAGACGGGTATCCTTTAACGCAGCGAGAACTTGTTCCTCTTGCCCTTCTCTTCCAGCGGTCGCCCGCTCTCGATCCGGGACTTCTTCTCCTCGAGCTCCATACGTTGGCGCTCGAGTTGCTCCTTCATTTCGCGATGGCGAGCGTACAGCTCCTCCTCGCTCTGCCTCAGTTTGCTCTCCTTCTCGGCAACCTTCTGCTGGAAGACCATCTTCATCTCTGCCTCCATCTTGGCGAGCTTCTGCTCGTGCAGGCTGCGCTCCTCCTCCTGCTTGACAGCGGGGTTGACCTCCTTGAACACGCTTGGGTCCTGTGCAACACCCATACCAGTGAGCTTCTCGGAACGGTAGTTCTCGTAGAGCGCGTTGTTGGTGTGCTCCTTGAGCTCCTCCATGTGTGTGCGGATGAGCATTTGGCGGAGCTTGACGAAGTCGCAGTGCTCCTCGTTGTCAACCTCAATGATACCCCACGGGTAGCGACGTCCGCGGACCTTGCGGCCATCGGCGCTGGTGATCTCGGCGGTAGCTCCAACAACTGCGAAAGGAACCTTGGACAGGATCTCGTTGTTCTCGGCAATCGTCTCGTCGTCATCAAGCTCGTAACGGGGACCCTCGAAGATCTGGATGTCGTGGTACTTGATATCGGCAAGAATCTAAGAAAAGTCAGTCAAGTCCGCGTACCAAACAGGAATACAGGAAATCATACCCTGGCCTTGAAAGCAGCAATCTCCTCGTCGGTCAAGGTATCAGCCTTGGCGATGACTGGGATAAGGTTGACCTTGGTATGAAGTCTGCGCATAACCTCGATATCAAGTGGCTTGAGAGAGTGGCCAGTTGGCTGGAGGAAGTAGACGCAAGCGTGGACGCGGTTGTCAACGATGTTCATGCGGTTGACCTTGTTCTCGGCATCGAGGTAGGCGTCGAAGCGCTGCTCGATGTTATCGACAATTGGTCTCCATGACTCGTCGTTGTTGACGAAATCACCAAATCCAGGGGTATCAACAACAGTCAGGCGGAGACGGACGCCGTTCTCCTCAATATCCGCGCTGAGAGACTGGATGGCAACAGTCTTAGGGATGATGTCGAGGCTGGGTCCCTTGCGCTCGCGAGGAGGGTATAACGAGGTGTTGAAGAGAGTGTTGACCAGAGTCGACTTTCCGAGACCAGATTCACCTAGAAATTATTAGCTGTGGTTTCCGAACCTCGCTTTTCCCGGCGAGGGTCAACCTACCAACAACCATAACGTTGAAATTGAAGCCCTTGCGGACACTCTTGCGGTGCCATTGATTCGGCAGGTTCGCGAATCCGACATAACCAGTGAGCTTTCTGCGGACAATGTTGCGCATGTCGCTGGCCTGCTGTGCGGCAATCTTTGGGTCGCTGGATGCGACGCTCTGAGGCATCTCCAGCGGAGGAGAAGCTCCCTTGGGATTCGTGGCAGCTTCCATACCGAAGGTAGCAAATGAGCAGTATGAAGTTCGAAGGGTGAGGTAGGCTGTTGGTGGTGTCGATGCTTTGGATTGTTAACGAACGAGGTGCTTTCAACTTTTTGGCTTGAGAGTTGGAAAGGGCGCTCGGAAATGATTGATGTGGATGTGCGCGTATTGGGAAAGGAGACGTCCCTTGGTCCCCTGGAATCATTGGTTGCTGTGGACAGCCGTAGTTTGTACCATCTTGGAGGGATTATCACACTAATTTCCACATATTGCACACAAAATGGCATGTACCACGTCACCCAAAGCGGTAAGGCGCAGTCGCGGGTGAAAAGGGGAAATGGCTCTAGGCACGTTTAGGGAAGTAAACCGGCAGTCACGTGGTTTCACCAAACGACCAGGAAATGCTTTGGTTGGCCAAGGAAATATCGGCAAAGGGAAAGGGGAGAAGCTGTGATACAATACAGACATATATTGTTATTTTACAAGTAAGGCTCTGGAGGATATAGTAGATGGTTTGGTGTTTATGATATTAATATATTTTTTATTTCTTTTCAGAGGCTAAAGATGCGGTTCCTGTATATAATATTTCTCAAATGGAGGAAGCTGATAATACGTGGATAGATATATTGCTATTGAAAAAAATCTACACATCGTTGCAAGTAAAGGTTTGGGTGATATTAATTATAAATGATGTATTACTAATGGTATCAATGATAATATTATTTTTGTCCAGTGGCGAAAGATACAGTCCCTTGTGCAAATAAATGATATCTCGGAAATATAAATTTAACAATCCCAATAACACTCAGTCCACCCAAAAGACTCGTCCCCCTCGCAACACCAAGATCCTTATACAGCGGGTGCGCATAGAGGATAGAAGCACACGCCGACGCGCTCCTCAAGAAATCGTTGCCCGTGAACAAACTCGCCGCGTACTGCGGGTACGACATCGGGACGTAGGTGAAGATGCATTGCATGACGACGAAGACGCTGGCGCCGTAGAGGACGATGCCGATTGTGGGGGCGACCCAGGTGATGTCTGGTCGTGCGGTCCACTGGTAGGAATTAGTTTCTGTTTTCCGCTTCTGTTTTGGTGTGAAGGGTTAGGGAAATAGGGGGGTGCTTACAGCGAAGATGAAGAGACCGATAGTAGGACCAAAACAGGCGAACAGCGCTGGAACGAGATTATGCTCTTGTGCGCGTAGGCCGTTCTTGACGATAGGGATGAGGTAGAAGTAGAGGTATGCGGAGTAGACGGCGAATGAGGCAGGCGATGAGGATGCAGGTGAAGAGGACGCCGATGATGCCGAGGCTGAAGCCGTAGTAGACTGGGTAGACGAGGGGGAAGACTTCGAAGAAGGAGTAGTAGAAATGATCGCGGTGTAGACGTTGACGAAGAGGATGGCGGGGTCCTTGATGGTGGTCTCCATCGGCTTGATAAGAGCGTCGACGACAACCTCGCGTGTAGAGAGCTTGGCCTGGTCAATCTTGCTCTGAGCCATGAGTCTCGACCCTCCCGTCAGCTTTCTCAGGCGCTCAGCTCTTCGGAGTAGAATATTCGGCGTGCTAGTCTCTGGAAGCACCGAGAACATAAGCAGCAGAACCGGGCAAGCAGCCCAGAAGATCTCCCAAAGAGAAAATCTCCAACCCTCGGCTACGACAGCAAACCGCTAAGAAGCGGACCTAGAGCCGGTCCGCAGTATGCGGCTGATACCCAGGCGATCAGCGCGTAGGGGAGGTAGAGCATTGATACCATGCTCATCGTCGCGGCTCCGGTAGCTAGACCAGGGGGATCCGAAGAATCCCTGGAGAAAGCGGAGGATGAGGAGACCGGCGAAGTTGTTGACCAGCGCGGTGGGGATGGAGATGATGGTGAAGATAAACATTGTGACGAGGTAGACTGGTGACCTCCCTATTCTCAGGATCTCGCTGAGGGGCGAGAAGACGAGGAGCCCAATGCCGTAGGCGTCGACTTCGAAGAGGTTGAATTTTTGGATCACTTGGGGGATGCTGGAGGTGTAGATCGCGGAGCCGCTGTAGACGACGAAGGTGTAGAGGCAGATCAGGAGACCGACCCAGGATTTCTTGCCCATGGACCAGTTATGTGGGTTCGCTGGGTCGTCGGTGGAGTATTAGTCGACTAGGACTAGGCCGTCGGCTGTCTTAACTGGGTAGATGGGCTTGCTGGCAACGCGCTCGATGGCGTCTTGGATCTCGGTCTCTAAGCGCTTCTTGTGTGAACTGGCGGTGTATCTTGGCGGGAAAGGGTGCGTTGGAGTTCGATATCTTGGTGAAGGATTCGGAATCCGGAGTGGATTTCGACTCATCGCTCCCCTTTTTGAGTTGCTTTCTGCTGATAGGCCGTTCGATTGGCTCTTTCTCCGACCTGAGGACGGCATTATATGACTCTGGTAGTTCGAAGCCGGGAAGCTCTTCGGGATAGGGGAAGAGACGGTTCTTTGTTGCCCATCTCAGGAACTGGCCTAGAGGGGCCTCTCGTATACGGTCGGACATGATGGGCGTGTGTGTGATGGGTATATTGCAAGTAGAGTTGTAGCAAATGCTGCTAGCTCAATGGTTTGCAGAGAGGCAAAGAGGGAGGGAATGAGAATTGCAGCGAGCTTGAGAATGAAAAGAAGAGAGACATGAGATGGCAATACTTCAAATATTCATCTTGAATAGGTGGTTGACGGCGTTTTTGTGTAGCCCACTCTTCAAATGAGTTCTTCTTATTCTGGGGTTGAATTGTAGATACAATTAATGGCTCGATTGTTGGCTTGTAATGCTTGTCCCATAATAATTGAACAGCATTCTTTGCTGGCGCTATCCAGTCAATAGGCCAATTCTCTTCATAGTACTTCCATTTTTGACTTGGAATGAGTATTCCAGCAGCGATATATGCAGATGAACTATAAAGTGTTAGCACTATAGTACTATTGATAGTACTATGGATAATACTATTACGGGCAAAAACTCGATATAACCGTGGGGGGAAGCGAGTGCGTCCACTCGCTTACGAGAGGAAGCAAGTGCGTCCTCTCAACTTGCATATGTTCACCGCTACTCTTTACCAAAACCTCGAACATTCCTACACATAGTAATTTATATAGTAATCAAATGTAATTCATTTAATGGAAGGGACACCTCTATCAAATGCCTGTGAATGGCTGGCAGCAAATCCCTCTGAATCTGTAGGTGCTGCCAGTCGGATTTTTAAGGTCCCACGACTATACAGTCAAGAATCACCCGAGCAGTCCCACGGAAGCTGGCCCATGGAGGTCACAATAGGATGCTTTCTATAGACCAAACGGAGGCCCTAAAGGCCTGGATTCTAGAGCAGTATTACCTAGGGTTAGGGGCTAATAGGCATATGGTTTACGGGGCAGTATGCCACCTACGGAGCCCACTGCCTCCACCGTCACAGAGCTGGCTCACTAAATATATACGGAATGAGCTTATGGATTTCCACTTTATCACTACAAAGCCTATTGCGCAACAGCGTACGCAAGCTCAAGAGGAACCTGCTATTGTTAAGTGGTTTGAAAAGTACACGGAATTTGTACTACAGCATGGTATAAATCCAGAGTCAATCTGGATGAAACTGGATTTAGGGTTGGAATTCCAGGGGGTGAGAGAGTTATGGTCCCCCGAGCTGTAAAGCAGCTCTATACTCTGAGCCCTGAGAATCGTATATCTATTACGATCATAGAGGCAGTATCTGCAGCTGGACAGAAGATTGCACCTGTACTTGTTGTACCGGGTAAAATCCATATGGCAGCATGGTACTGTAACGCTGACTTCTAAACGATAGAAGACACAGAGGTTTCTTGCGTAAGGTTGACTTGACAGAGGAGGCAGGGGATTAGACACAAAGGCTTTCCAAGTAACACGTTACAGTATTGAAAAGAATACTATATTGAGTTGAGCACGAAGCTCCTATCTAAGGAAATACTATCTACTTATATAGTGGCGTCGTGCCAAAGGGATATCCGTGGATAACATGGATAACATAATATCCATGATATCCAATGTTATCCATCACGTGACGTTGCAGCCGTAAGCGCTAGCCATAGCACTAGCACTTAGCCGTAACAGACTAGTGATGGTGGTGAGGGGCTTTGCTATTTTGCCGAAATTGTGAATGAATTGTCTATAGAAGCCACAGAATCCCAGGTAGGACTTCACACCCATAACAGTGGTTGGTCGGATCCAGTTACGAAGGGGTTCGATTTTGTCGGGGTCCGCTTCGACACCGGAGGTAGTGAGAACGTAACCCAAGTTTTTTTGTCCTGGTGACGTTTGTTACGACGGAACAAGAAGGCTGGCCAACTACAGGACAGGATGGAGGGAGGTCGCATGAGACCGGCCCTGGTACCTGGAGGGGCAGCGGGGAATAGTAGTTCCGAAAGTATCACGTGACGGACTCGCAGGATGATGAGAAGAGTCCTAAGAGTCCAGGACTCCGAGGACTCGAGTGAGTTCCCAGGAGTCCACTAGGCACGTGATGGACTCGCAGGATGATGAGAAGAGTCCTAAGAGTCCAGGACTCTGAGGACTCGAGTGAGTTCCCAAGAGTCCACTAGGCACGACGCCACTATATAAGTAGATAGTATTTCCTTAGATAGGAGCTTCGTGCTCAACTCAATACAGTATTTGTTATATACTAGTAACGTGTTACTTGAAGCCTTTGTGTCTGATCCCCTGCCTCCTCTGATAAGTAAACCTTTACGCAAGAGAACCTCTGTGTCTTCTATCGTTTAGAAGTCAGCGTTACAGTTTGCTCTTGAGTTTGATAGCAAACTGAGTGCAACGAATGTCAGTATGACATGATCCCCTGCCTCCTATGATAAGTAAACCTTTACGCAAGAGAACCTCTGTGTCTTCTATCGTTTAGAAGTCAGCGTTACAACGTTGAACTCGCATTTATTCAAATCGGCTTGGAGTCCAGCTTCTCGGAGACGCTGTAGGACCTTATGCACATGCTCTATGTGTTCCGTAGGGTCCTCTGAATAGATTAGGATGTCGTCTAAGTATGCGGTACAGAAGTCATCTAAATATTGCATCAGGACGTCATTCATATACCGCTCATAGGTTGCGGGACCGTCCGTTAGTCGCTTCGCATCATCTCGTGATGGAAGGCATTGGCACTGATTTCGCATATCCGTATGGGTGTGAAACTAGGTACCAGTTTCACTAGTAGTGGGGGAGAAACCTCTTGGTTTCAGGTAGGGCTCGGTGGCATAACAGTGATCTCTTCATAGCCTGAAGTTATCACTTTCATGTTCATCGAGCGTCCGCCTGCGTGGCGTCTGTCTTTGCGGTGGATGGCAGCATCCCTGCGATTCGCATCCAGCTGGTATGTGGGATGTCGAATGGACGTTTCTCGCATGTAGTAGGGCAAGGTGATCTCCTTGCTCCAGCTAGGAGTCGGCGGGTACTCCTTTGGCCATACTAACCAGCTCTTTGCATAGTCGAGTAGTATTTGGAAGCGGCTGAAAAGCTTCTTCCCAATTATCACATCTTGTGCTCCGAGGTCCAGGAGTACAAAGGGGCAGTTATATATCTGGCGTCCTTCGACTGTTATGTCATACTGACACACGTGCTCCACAGTTTGCTATCAAACTCAAGAGCAAACTTGGAAATCTCCTCCTCAAACCTACAAGTCACTATACATATTTTGGCTTATCACACCAACAACAAGAGCAATACTACTCAACGATTGCTACAACCATCTATGATTCATTACACGTCATCGCTCCTTAGTTACTGGGCCGATATTACCACATAGCATATCTCTACAACCCTCTATGATTCATTACATGACATCACTCATACTACCACATGACATACCTCTACCAACTAGAGGCCTATATCAAAGCTCCATATCGAACCCATCCACCCCATCTGAACCACGACATCACATCCTCCCACATCACAACTCCATAATGCCGACCACTACTCATAGAGGTTCGTAAGAGCTCTAAAAGCTCCTACGAACCTCTATGATTTATTACATGTCATCGCTCTTTAGTTACCCACAAGATTGGTTAAGTTATGACATAATTTGTCTATATGGATACTCTGACCTTGGACCTCCTTTTACTTCCTATAGGCTACGAACCTAAGAGATGGTTCTATGGGATTCTCTTACGTCGACTACAGTTACCAAGCCTGGTAAGTCATGGAAAGTCTTGGAAAATGAGAGAACTACACTCCTTTAGCATAAATAGGATTGCCCTTTCCTTAAGAAAGGGCAAGCAGACAATACAGTAAATTGACTATCACATACTTCCACGTCTTTTCCAAGCTTCCAAGCATTCATCTTGTTACTCCTTGTTTCTGAAAAGTCAGTGAGGTGTTAACCTCTGACTTACCCCTGAGTTCCCAGACTCAACATTTGTTGCAACTTGTCTGAACCACTTCACTACATCACACACCTGATTGCTGCGTTGTGGAATAGTCTAAGCTACGACCCTTTGGCTCTGTTTTCTAAGACAGTGTGTTGTCTTAGTAAATTCATCCCTTCCTTGGGTGGCTAGATTCTCACATCTGATGCACCCACCATTACACTGGCTGTCCGTGAGATCTCTGGAATCACGGCTATTTGAAGTCGTCAGGTCTCTCCTCCGAAACGTCACCGAGTCGCAGTCGATGTCATAATGGTAGTTTTCCTGAGTCGTTCCGGTGTGGGATATTATTGAAGTACGGCCGTCCCCGGCAGGCGTGATCTTTTTTGTATAATGTCAGGACACAGGGCACCCAGCTCACAGTAATAGCATATGAGAGTGCGAGTCAGAGGCTAAACGGATGCTATCCTATAGGTCTACTACAAAGGATACGAAAAAGATGATGAGGAACCCCGTTGGGTCAATCCCCTTAAGTAACCGAAATGGGTCCAACTCGGCTAACCTGCCCTAACTCTCCCCACGTGACTGTAACCTGTCTGACTCTGATCCCTTCCGTCATTGATGTTATACTGACATTCGTTGCACTCAGTTTGCTATCAAACTCAAGAGCAAACTTAGAAATCTCCTCCTCAAACCTACAAGTCACTATACATATTTTGGCTTGTCACACCAACAACAAGAGCAATACTACTCAACGATTGCTACAACCCTCTATGATTCATTACACGTCATTGCTCCTTAGTTACTGGGCCGATATGACCACATAGCATATCTCTACAACCCTCTATGATTCATTACATGACATCACTCCTGTAATGGTGGGTGCACCAGATGTGAGAATCTAGCCACCCAAGGAAGGGATGAATTTACTAAGACAACACACTGTCTTAGGAAAAAGAGCCAAAGGGTCGTAGCTTAGACTATTCCACAACGCAGCAATCAGGTGTGTGATGTAGTGAAGTGGTTCAGACAAGTTGCAACAAATGTTGAGTCTGGGAACTCAGGGATAAGTCAGAGGTTAACACCTCACTGACTTTTCAGAAACAAGGAGTAACAAGATGAATGCTTGGAAGCTTGGAAAAGACATGGAAGTATGTGATAGTCAAT